GTATGGTAGCTCTAATTTCAACTGTTTGAGGAACCTCCATACTGTTTTCCAGAGTGGTTGCACCAACTTGCATTCCCACCAACAGTATAGGAGGGTTCCCCTTTCTCCGCATCCCCGCCAACATCTGTCGTTTCCTGACTTGTTAATTTTAGCCATTCTGACTGGTGGGCACACTCCTTTTAAGTAGCAGCTCTGAACTTGAATCCAGCTGTGTCTGAGTCCAGACCCCAAGTGTTAACCAACGTGATGGGTGAACCCTATCTCAGGAGCAACTCTGTGCCAAGCACTGGGAATATAGCAAGATGACTCAGTCCATGCCCCTGCCATCATGGAACTCGGGTCTCGGGCAAGGAAACCCATACATCAATCAATGGCATTTGAATAATGCAAGTACCACAGGAGAGATACGGTTCAAAGTACATTTGAACACTAACATTTAAATAAAGAAAGAAAACCAGCCACAGACCTGTTATTCCAATAAATCAAATTTCTCATTTCACCACGTTCCATTCCAGGCCTTGTACATATATACATATTTTTTTATGCAAGCATAGTTGTACTTTAGATATAATTTGTATTCTGATTCTTCACTTAATGTGTTAAATTTATGTGTTCCTTTCCACCGGTCTTATAAGACATTTCACTTTGCTGAAGGTAGGAAATATATGATTTTTTCCCTAGAACTCAAATTTTTCATGTCAGGTACTTCAGCAATTATTCATCCATTCATTTAATAAATACTTAAAAAGCACTTACTCTGTGCCAGGTATCATTCTAAGCCCTTTAACACAAAATGTTAACTCATTCATCTGAAGCTTTTCTCCTGGAGGGCTTTCTGCCTTATTCCTTCTTCTGCCCTTGGGAACATAGCCATAGTGTGCCTTTGGAGGCTGGTGGGGAGAAACGTCCCTTGTGAATTCTTTGATCTAATTAGACACTTTTCTGGCTCCAGAATTTCCTCTTAGCCATAGAGTAATATGGACAGTCCCCCAGAGATGTGCAACTACCAATTGCCCCAGTTTCTATGCCTCATAATTATGCTGTGTCATCATCTTGTGGGGGTGATTTGTGTTAAAGAAGCCTGTGAAAACACGCTGTTCCAAATGAGCAGCTTCCAGATGGGACACCCCCCCGCCCCGCTGTGCTAAGAATGACATTCGCCCTAAGTTGGCAGCACTGTAGAGTGGCTAAGTGCTCGGGTGCTGCAGCTTGACGACCTGATTTCCAATTCTTGCTGAGTAAAGTTAAAAAATACCTGCATCTCTTAGCTGTCATTCCATCGCCCTTCCTACTTTGCAAGGTTGATGGGACTAAATGGAATGAGGTGAACTAAGCGCTTGGCACAGTGTGTGGCACAAAGGAAGAACTCAATTTACATTAGCTTTATTGTCGTTCGTTAAAAGAGATCAAGCTGGAACTACACATATGTCCTACAGATGCCACAAAACAAAGCCCCAAGCCCCAAAGCACTGTATCAATGGATGTGCCGTGAGAGGCATCTAGGAGTTTAAGTTGATATAGTTGTAAGATGTGTTTTAATGTCACACAACCCCATGAGAACACCAATATTGTCAGGACATGAATAACACCCATATTAGAGGCTTAGATTATGGTATTTGTACATAACTTAAGACTATTGACTTGACCTGTGGTATATTTCTATCCTTGCAATAAGAATAAATGATTTTCTCCTATTGTGTGTTTTGGCCAACAAAACTAATCAAACCCTCTGAAAAACATGATTCCAAATTCATTGTATGTTGGCACTTTGGAAGGGCTCTTGGAGATCATCTAGTCCCATGCTCTTATTTTGGGACTAGAAATAAATGAAATCCTAAAGAGGCCTGTTTAGGCCTTAATGTTAAGTGGGTTAACCAAGTTGGAGTTAGAAGACACTGTGATCTAGGTCCTATCCTAATCTAGTGCTGTTGCCAAACTCCATAAATATTCTTCATGTAAATAAAATGAAATCACATATACCCTCCCCTCAGTGCCAGATGAACATATGGGTCTCCAGGGCACCATAGAACTCATCAGCACTGGTCATACGTGTCACAGAGTGACTCATCAATGCCTCACAATGTGTACAAACATTGAATTTTCTCAAACTTAGCAAGAGTTTATTCCAGACATCCTCCATATATCTACTTCGAAAAATTATTTCTATATCCATATTTCAATTCATACAGATGCTCCATGTCTGCTGAACCCACCTCATTTTAGAGTCTTGGAACACTATTCATATTACTTTTTATTTGTGTTTAGTCATAGTTAATTTATTTTAAAATCTTGAACCACAGGAAGAATGGTCCCTGCTCGGCGGGAAGCCTGCTTCTCCCTCTCCCACTCCCCCTGCTTGTGTTCCCTCTCTCACTGTGTCTCTCTCTGTCAAATAAGTAAATAAAATCTTAAAAAAAAAAAAAGAAAATGTTTCGAACATCCTCAAATGATGTTTTACCTAACTTACTCTAGAAACGATGTAAAGCTGCTTAAAAGGATACGTAATATCCCAACAACAACAAAGAAAGCAAGCACAAAAGAACAAAATTTTCAAACTGGTGATTTGAGATTTTTTTCTCTGCGCATAAGAAGGCCAGGTTCAACATATTGATTCTTGTTAGTTTGATGTAATTTTAAGAACTTTGTTTCCTTCCCAGACATCGATTTTTACTCCAGCCTTTGGATCAGAAACTAAGGTCAGAATAAACAGTAATATGAGGACTGAAGACGTAATAGAGCAACTTCTCCAAAAATTTAAGGTGATCTTTATTATGAAACTGAGCTATAACTCTCTTGAATATAATTTAACTGTAGATACACAAATGCACTCTTTGGAAAAAGACCTATGAACATGTCAATCTAAATTAAGTTGTTCAGTTCTGAAGGATCCTCTTATGTATCACATCTTTTCATAATTGAGCCTTGAGAAATTACGTTATTCCTAGGGAGTAGAGAAGTTTTCATGTCTAAAAGTGCAAAATGAAAGTGAGGAAACAGGTAGATAATCTGGGTCTGGTTAGCTTAGAAAACATCTGACAATGACCAATCCATCAAATATGAAAGAATTCATGTTTTTTTTTTTTCCATTGACAGATTGAAAATAGTGCCCAAGATTTTGCACTTTACATTATTTTTGCAACAGGAGGTAAGCTTGATCACTCTTTTTATAGGATTCCGGAATGCTGTAGTTTTCTGCCCGTGGGGAAGGCAGAAGAGCCATTAAACCTCATTCTGTGGAAGAAAGGGAAGGAAAGGAGAAAGAAAAAGGGGAGGGTGTTTTAGAAGGTTATTTATATTTCACAATTTCAGAGGAAGATGACTCAAGAATAAGGTACCCTAGAAGAGCTTATAATACAAAAGAGTTTGCTTGTTGGCTCCCAGACATTTAATTACCTGAATGTCAGTCAGAGCCCCGGGGTGGGGCAAGGGGTTGTCTGTGAAAGTTCCCAAGAATTGTTACGCATTGAAGTCCTTGATTCCTATACCTCTTTTTGGCTTTCCCTTCTTATTCTAGCTCTCACTGGAGTCATCAATGCGTACCATTTCTCTTGTTATTACCGCTTTCTTAGCACAGTACCTGCCACACTGTAGGAGTGTTCTCTCTCCCTCCTCAGTAGAGGAAAATATGCACAACTCGGGGGTCGGGAGCAGAAGGTTAGCAGCAAGACATTGGGAAGAGGCTACATGTGAGGTGCTGAGAGCAAGGATGAAAGAGAGATTAGAGAAAAAGCTAAGGCAGTACTGAATGAAATTTTTGAAAACCTAAAATTGTTAAATTGTAGGAATATCTCCAGTTATAGTTTAAGTGTCAGAATGTTTGAGGTGGAAATTGAACAGAATAAAATAATAATTTTTGATCCCAGGACAACTGTAAGAAAATGAAAGTTGGGTCTTTAAAAATATACAAGATTTGGGGTGCCTGGGTGGCTCGGATGGTTAAGCGTCTGCCTTCGGCTCAGGTCATGATCCCAGGGTCCTGGGATCGAGCCCTGCATCGGGCTCCTGACTCAGCAGGGAGTCTGCTTCTCCCTCTCCCTCTGCCTCTCCCACTGTTCATGCTCTCTCTCTCTCTCTATCTCTGTGTCTCAAATGACTAAATAAAATCTTTTAAAAAATAAATAAATAAAAGTAAAAATATACAAGATTAAAGCTCTTATAAATTGAAAGCTTAAAGTATAAGAAATATAATATAAATTTTAAAAATTCTAAGGGTGTGTGTACATATATATTCATATTCTCCTTGTTTAGGAAAAAACTAAAAGGTATAAAAAGCAGAAACAGACTGTAAAAATGTAAAAGATACAAATAGATTATGAAAACTATCAGATAAAAGATTAATACCTATAATATCAGAGTTCCTGCAAAATTATAACAAAAAGACAATTCAATGAAAATAGAACCCACAATGCAACATTATCTCACATTTAGCAGATTGGCAATATGTTTCAGAAGGATTCTACCTATGTCTGTGTGGTGAAGGGTAAAAGAGTATTTTCATGCAACTCTCGTGAAAATATGCCTGTCTTTACTTTTTTGGAACTCATTCTAACATTATTAACATTTACAGGTTACATATCCTTTAACCTGGCAATCCCACTGGTGAGAATCTACTCCACAAAAATAAAAGGACTAATACCTACAGATTTATTTGCAAGGCTATTTATAATGACAAAAAATTAAAGACAAAGTCACCTGTCATGGGAGAATGATTAAATAAGTCATTGTTAGGCAGCCATTAAATGGAGTGTGTTAGATGTATACCAGTTAAATGGAGGGAATTCCATAATATCAATTATGTGAAAAACTCAACATGCCTACAGATGTCTATGATATGATCGCATTTTTGTAAAAGAATTACAAATCCCATTTCAATATGTGGTATATAAGATCATATGATCAGGGAGAAAGGTATGAAATGATAAATAGCAAATCGTGAACATCGAGTACCCAGCTAGGGGGTTAGGGTGATGCAGAGTAGAGTACGGAGAAAGGAGGAACAGAGAAGCAAAAAAAAAAAAAAAGTAAACCATTTTTAAAAACATGGCTACAGTAAAAATAGCAAGTTTCACACGACCACCTTTCTGTGTTGTGTGTTTGTGTGCGCGCATAAAGATGTATAGGAAGGGATGGCCATACGAAGGGTAAGGCTGGTGGTCTCAGAGTTCTGGGGTTCCAGGTGCTTTTTACTTTCTGTCTTACACTTGTCTCCGTAGTTTCAACTTATAATAGCTTGTGTGGGTTTTTTAAAACTTTATTGAGGGATAATTGGGAATAATTGACAAATATAATTGTATACACTTAAAGTATATAATGTGATTATTTGATATACTTTTACATTATGGGATGATTACCAAGATCGAGACAATTAACACATCCGTCACATCACATAGTTAAAGCTTTGTGTGTGTGTGTGAGAGAGAGAGGAGAGAGAGAGAGAGAGAGAGAGAATACTTCAGATCTACTCTCAGCAACTTTCGAACGTACAATACCATATTATTAACTCTAGTCACCATGCTGGACATTAGATCCTCAGAACTTATTCTTCTAATAACTGAAAATTTGTACCTCTCTCACCCTCTCTTCCCTCCCTGACAGCAGGAGTTATTTTTATAATCAGAAAAAAATGTCTATTTTCACCACAAAAATGTAGTTCTTTAAAATTTTATCTGTAAAAATCACGTGTTTTTTTTTTTTGGTGTCAAAAATTCTCGTACATAAACTCCAGAAGATAATCATAACTAGCACCTGTTAGGGATCAGGAACAGAGAAAAGAATGGAACCTCTAGCACCTGTTTAGGTATTAATCTGTAAAATAAAGACAGGTGCGTTTTCCACTAAGCCCATGATCCATCACAGTGTTTTTCAAATTCTAGTGCATTTCCGAATTACCTAAGAAGTTCATTAAAAATACAGATTCCCAAGCCATCCAGATCCAAGAATCCCAGTCTGGGAATATGTATTTCTAATAATTATCCCAGAAGCAAATTCATGAAGCAAGAAACCTTGCTCTGTAATATTAAGAATGCAACAAACCGAGGATGCAAAACCAAGTTACTATAAGATGTAGAGGTCAGAAGAGGCTTCTAGTGGGTGAATAAGATTAGCTAAATTATCAGGCTTCTCCCTCGCTTCAGAAGTGTAGAGGAATTAAAGCAATGAACTCTGACTCTGTGGAAACAAGAATGGATAATATTAACTTTAATTTTGCTCTAGATCCTCTCCAATCCCACCCAGGGGATGAGAACAGTTCTGATTCTTAAAACTATTAAGAGCCCAAGGTAATTGATTTCATAAATGACAATGTAGAAAGGACTAACTGGTCTACCCCTTTCCCCTTTCAGTCTATTTCAACACAGCAGACAGACTGTTCTTTAACAATGTAAGTCAGACCATATCACATCACTTCTCAAATCCTCCAGTGGTCTGTCTTCCCACAGTAAAGCCAGAGTTTTATGCTGGTCCCACTACATGTTCTCTTCAACTTTGAATAACGCTTCCTTCATCTTCATGTTAGCCACCCTGGTCCCTTGCTGCTCTTTGATAGCATTAGGCATGCACTGACCTGTAGGGTGACTGACTTATTTACTTACTCTGTTTGGGACACACTTCCCCCAAATGGTTCCATGATTCCATACCTCATCTCCTTCAGTCTTTATTCAAATGTTACATCTTCAGTGAGCCCTTTCTCAGCCACCCTAACCATAATTGCATATGTGTCCCCTGTACACACCTATTTACACATATACATTCTTCTACCCCTTTTCTTGCTTTATTTTTCTTCTGAATACTTATCACTAATACATGATGTGTTTTATTGGTTTATCTTTCCTTAGCCTCTCCGTCCTCCACTAGAATGTAAGGTCCATGAAGGAAGTGATTTTATTCTGCTTTGTTTTATAAGGTGCCCAGCACAGAAAACAATGCCTGAAACATAGTAGGAACTCAAAAAATATTTGAGGAAGGAGAAAAGGAGATGAATGTAAGGGCACTGTGTTCTGTTCATGTTTCATTCTGATAAAAATGAAATTGCAGATGTGAAACTATTTTGACAGAAAGCTGGAAGTGCTTTGGTGGGTGGGAGTATTTATAACTTTTGGAAATTTGAAGTTCTGGGAATATGCCAGACTGGAAGTTACTGTCTTTCTCATCTCATTATTATGGCTGAATGGATGAAGCCCTCAGATGAATGAAATAATAAAAATACCCATGGTGTGAAAACATTATGAATATATTTTTTTTCTTAGATTTTATTTATTTGACAGAGAGAAAGAGAGAGAGAGAGCATGCACACAAGCAGGGGGAGGGGAAGAGGAAGAGGGAGAAGCAGACTCCCAGCTGAGTAGGGAGCCCAACGCAGGCTTGATCCCAGGACCCTGGAACCATTACCTGAGCCGAAAACAGACACTTAACTGACTGAGCCACCCAGGCGCCCCTATGAATATATTTTTAAGGAAGATCCAAGGATTGGATTGGGGTGAGAAACAAGGGAATCATTGAAGATAATTACAAAGCTTTGGACCTGAGCAACTGGGAAGATGGAAATACAGTAACTGAACTAGTAAAGAATCAATAAAAATTTGTTGAGTGAATGAAAAATTATAAAGAAGTTTTTGGGTGTGTTGCTTGATAAAAGCATAAGTAGAACTAATTTGTCTGAACATCTGAACCAAAGGCAAGGCTGAATTACCTGAGATACAAGTCAAATTTAAGAGATAGCAAGAGAAAGGAGTCCATTTGTAGTTTTTTTTTTAAGGTTTTAATTTTAATTTATTCATCTGGGTAAGTGCCTCCTGTTGTATGTTTTTAGGTCTTCTTCCAACATGAACTGAAGAAAAAAAATGAGTGGACAACGTATCTTTCTTTCTCTAGGATGGATCCCTGACTATGGTTGATTCTTGTTTTCCTTTGCAGAGCAGAGAAGGCTAAAGAAGACAGATGTCCCCCTACTGCATAGGCTCCTGCAGGGACCTTCCAAAGACAATGCTCGCATTTTCCTCATGGAGAAAGATGCAGAAGAAATTAGCAGTGATGTATGGATCCTGTCACCCCGAATCTGTCTTTGCTTTCTCCTGACTCAGCACCTCTCACAGAATCTGCTTGCTTTTTGGTTTCATTTTGTTTTTTCCCTTTCCAGGTGGCTCAGTACATTAACTTTCATTTTTCTCTCCTGGACTCCATCCTTCAAAGATTAAATGAAGAAGAGAAGAGAGAGATCCAAAGAACAATAACCAAGTAAGTCAGGAGCAGGCATGCTGGGTGCCTATTCCTTTAATAAGTCCAGGGCACAAAATGTGTTCAATTTTTAATAACTCTTTTTCTCCTTCTCATTTTCAGATTCAGTACAGAAAAGGCAATTATACTGAAATGTCTTCAAAGTAAAGGGGTAGGAAAAACAGAGACAGCGGTTTAGCAGCACAAGCTGCAATTGCTAAAACACTTCAACAGAATCAGAGGGATATTACTATCTGATGAATGCCTGCATTTGACCCTTGCATGCATACAAATATATACGAACTTGAATCTGTAGGAAATTGAATGTCGAAAAAGCTTGTCTCCCTTTGAAGTGATGAGGTTAACTAGGGTTCACAGTTGCACTGAAAAGGGCTTGAATTTAGTTTCAGTAACTGAAACAAGCTTGGATACTGTGTATTCCAAATACTTTAATAGTAAAACACTCAGTGAACTCGAATATAAATGGTGTCTTCATATGTCGTGTAACTTAAGCTTCTTTTAGCTCAAACTGTCAAGAGAACTAGAGCATCATCAACTGATTCTCAGAAATGATTCAGAAGTAGAAGTTGCCGGCTCTTGAAATAAAAAAGAAGCACATTCTCACCCTACCAAGGAATCGGAGGGGGATGGTGTTTTGCAGCTCCCTGAAAACTCTAGCATCTTTACGAAATCCAGGACTGTTTCTATATGGTTGGTGGCTTTTGGCTATCTGTAACATTAGAGCTATCTCTCCTTTGGGATGGAAAAGCTTATGGGCTCTGTTAAGAGATCTAAATTGCAATTTTCTCAACTTGAGCCCTTTTATACCCCACTGTGTTCTATTCATGACTTTCAAAAGTATTATTAAGCATTTTTAATGTCAGTTGAAGTAGTTTTCTTTATTTTTCCAAACAAGTATGCCACAGAGATTTAATATATTTAATCAGCTAGGACAAGATTTGGCCCACAGTAACCATTTGTTGCCAAATGAACACAACGGATAATGCAGAACTTGTAGCTGAAGGTAGGCAAGGGATCTGGAGTTCTGCTCTTTTTCTCCAAGACAACCCAGTCCACGAGACAACTCTCAAGGTACTTAAAAGTCGGCTGAAACCGATTTGAAAACAAACAAACACTGAGAATGCCCACAAGTATCATCTATGATTTTATTTATGAACTCTACCTTAGAATGGAGTTTTAAGCAACACTGTTCAATTCTCTAAACTATGTCCATTTGCATTCCTCCTAAGCATTGTATTAAATTGTTTGGGTATATTACATGTACTAAGGGAGAAGGGTTGTATGTAATAAGCCCAAGTTGGAAGATTAATTATCAAAATTAAAATGCGACACCTTTTTAAGACAAAGGTATTACTTCTTAGTGGCACCAAAACCGAAACCTAAACCAGATGAAAGTAAAAGTGGGCTATGACCTTCAAGTCCTAGGAAATCTCTTGAGGAAAACAGAGGCTTGCTTCATTATCCTTCCAGCTATCAGTTAATAAGAAAATGATCTCATCTTGCCAAAATGGGGCAAATGAAATAGTTAAAATTCAGCATACTTATAAAAAATTTTAAGTAGTGTCAAGTGCCTGCCATAAATGACAGATTAATCATTAATATATTGAAAGTCTACAAGATATGTAAGAAAAATACCAAGATGTGGATAGAAAAAAAAAAACCACATAAAAAGTAAAATCACAGGAGAGGAAATACAAATAGCTACTAAGTGTGTGTGGGGGGGACTTGTATCTTAATGGTGATCAACTGTATTAGTCTGTGTCCAATAAGGAAACAGAAACACAGTAATCTAAGCAGAAGTTTAATATAAAGAATTGAGCTGGGATGATAGGAGAATAGAAAGAAAGAGAGCTCTAAAGGGTACCCTAAGGCTGAGGAAGAGGACCCCAAAAAGGGAAAGTTTGAAATCAGGAATTCAGAATTCACCAGAGAGGCTGTGGTTGCAGCCCATGGTAGAGGAGAAGTTTGCTGCTTGTGAGCACCACAGTCATAGGACAAACGAGAACAGCCTTTTGGGGTGCGGAGCAGCTGGGGTAAGTGGACACGTGTGCAGAGGGCCTTGGGGATTCTCTGCAGACCCAAGGCCCAGATCACATAATGTCTGTGTCTGGAGGTCTGCGGGAAGTTTGGAGGCCCAAAGAAAGAATCGGATACTGCTGCAGGTGTGCCTGGACTAGGAGCTAAAGGGGCTTCTTTTGCAGGAACCCAGTGCAACTCTGTGCATGATTTGGGCAGCAGCGTCTTCGAAGCTGTGTGGGACAGAAGCTGGGCAAGTGGCTTCCTAGATGGCCACCCTGGGCAGGGGGGCAGGGGGGCGGGAGGACTGTCTCTCTGTGAGGAAGCACTGAATTGAGGAGGTGGAGCAGAGAGCAGTGATTTGTGCGAGGGCATAGACCTGCACTCAGCTCCAGGCTATGCCACCACAAACAAAATAAAAAGCTGGAGAGGGGGTTGGGGACACAAATGGGAAAGAAAGCTGCACAGGCAACTAGCCCTGGAGAAAGCACACTGGGCAAATCAGTGGAGGAAAAAAGTCCACCTCCCAGAAGCCTTGCCAGTTCGCCCGGGGAGTCAGGAAAGCCTAAACTGCCTCCTACAACGTTTCTTCAGCGCCCTCTACTGACGAAGCACGACATCATGCAAAACTCAAAGGAAGCACATTTAAAGGGTCCATATCCATTTTTCACAGAACCAACAGCTGTGAATGAATTTGGAGCCCAGAGTCAATAAAATACTTTTGGTCTATTAGCAAAGATTAAGAAATGTTACTAAATACTCAATAAATTACAATGAGATAACCACTGCAGCTACTGGTAGAAATACAAATGGATATAACTTTTCTTGAAATCAATGTGATAGTTCATCCTATAATTCAACTTATAGGATCTTATATTGAAATAATCAGGCATACAAAACATTATGCAAAGATACTTATTATATTGATATTGTGGTAAAAGGAAGAAAATAACCTAAATGATCAAAAATAGAAAATGATTAAAGGGAAAAACATTTCCCCAAGAATGGTATGCAACTATTAGAATTATGTTTCCAAATAAACTTTAATTATAGAAGAAAATTCTTCTTCCATATCTAAGTAAGAATATACATACAAATATTCAAAATATCTCTTACCCATAAAATGTTTATGTGTGTGTGTGTGTGTACACTACATACAAACCAAAAATACATTAAATATGGTTATATCTGGGTTATAGAATTATGGGTGAATCATTTATTTTTCCATGCTTATTAAATATTCTAAATCAACACGTGTTACTTTTCAAATTTGGAATAGAAAAGTTATGATTAGAAAGTTACCAACCAGGGGCACCTGGGTGGCTCAGTCGGTTAAGCGTCTGACTCTTGGTTTCCACCCAGGTCATGATTGCAAGGTCGTGAGATGGAGCCCCACATTGGGCTCTGCATTCAGTGTGGAGTCTGCTTGAGATTCTTTCCCCTTCCTTCTTCCTCCTCCTCTACTACTCCCCCTGCTCACTCTCTCTCTCTCTCTCTCTCTCTCTCTAAAATAAATAAATAAATAAAATCTTTAAAAAAGAAAGTTACTAACAAAAAGTAGCAAGTACATGTAAGCACAGAGTCCTACTAGATGCAAAAACATCAAAGTATTTAGTAAGATATTAACTTCATTTCTGTGGTAGTTTTAAAATATATTCATGAAGCCTTTGATATTCCTCCTTTCAAGAGATAGGACCTAATCTTCCCCACCTTGCAAATGGACTGGACTTAGGGATTCAATCCTAATGAATAGAGGAAAGCAGAAGTGACAGTGTGTGACTCTGGGGCTAGGTCACATAGCACTGTGGCATCCTCCTTGCTCACTCTCTTGGATCACGGGCTCTTGGGGAAGCCAACCACCATGCTGGGAGCAGCCCGGAGAAAGGCCTGCATGATGGGAACGGAGACCTTTGCCAAAGTCTGCAACAACCGAGGCCTCCTGGCCCCATGTGCTGGCCCCAGTCAAGCCTTCAGATGACATAGCCCTGTCTAACCGTTTGACTACAACCTCATGAGAGACCCTGAGCCAGAAAACCCAGCTAACCCACTCCTGGATTCCCGATCCTCAGAAAACCTATGAGATAAGAAATGTTTGTTGCTGCTAAATTTTAGGGTAATTTGTTACGTAGCAATAGATAACCAATACAATTTCTGAGACAAAAATTTATTCGGAAACATCTTTGCATAATACGAGAATATAAACTTTTGTCATAAAACTCTTTATCCTTGTTCTAGGTGGCTCGAATATTTCACTACCAGTTACATATTAGTTCAAATTCGATCCCAGATAATGTTAATACTTATTAATGGTAGAGGACCTGTTACATTCATCTTTGTATACTTCGCTGTACTTAATGTTGTGTCTTGTGCATAGGATGCGCTTGATAAAAATCAGCTGAATAAAAGACTTAATGACCTAGTGAATCAGTGAGTAAAAGAATGAGTGAATGAGTTATAGGAAATGTTTTTTCTAAAAATCTCCTGTATATATGCCTCCTTTTCACAAAGCTGACCTGGTAGCTAAAGAAATATAGAATCTTTTTTGTCTGGTTTCCCCAAATTTGGTGGTATGTTTTATTATCTCTTGGCTATATGAAATGTTCAGTTAGGCAGTGTTGCTATGGAATTTTGTTTAGGGCCATTCATGTCGGTTTCAGGAACTGAAGGAGAAAGAAGTCCATTTTCAAGGCAGTTGATGAGGTAGAAAAGATGGCAGGTGTAAGTGTGATGTTGCTGTATCTACATGTGAAAGGAAAGGAATGGGATGCAGATAGGACAAAACCCTCAATGGCACCCATTTGTCTTCTAAATAAGAATAGCTAACACCTATTAGATTGAGCCATTTGAAATTGTCAAGATTTAACCTGCAAAAGCAGCAATTTCAGATTACTCACACTAATAGCACTTGCCATTTGCCAAGAAGTGTTTTAAGCTTTACATATATTAGCTGGTTTAGTGTTTATTATAGTCCCACAAAGAAATGACCCTTTCAACCCAGTTTTAAAGATGAAGAAGAAGGGGCGCCTGGGTGGCTCAGATGGTTAAGCGTCTGCCTTCGGCTCAGGTCATGATCCCAGGGTCCTGGGATCGAGTCCCGCATCGGGCTCCTTGGTCCATCGGGAAGCCTGCTTCTCCCTCTGCTTCTCTCTCTCTTTCTCTCTCTGTGTCTCATGAATAAATAAAAAGTCTTTAAAAAAAAAAAAAAGATGAAGAAGAAAACCAGCCATGGAGAAGATAGGAGATTTGCTAAGGTCTTTAGTAGAAGAGCTAGGTAGGGTTTGCATCATGCTCCAGAATCCACCATTTTAACCGCTATCATCTATGACCTCACTCTCAGCTACACTCTCTCAGTCTGGCAGTGGACAGGTGACAATCTACTTCAGTGGACTGTTGTGGGAGTTGTAGGAGTAACATGTGCCAAAGGTGGCACTTTACGCGTAACAAGTGTGATAGATTTTAGCTGTTGTTGTAATTAAACACTATGCCCCCAGCCACCATTGTATCCCTATCCTCCACTCGGTCTTACTGCCCACAACTACTTACCTGTTGTCTTAAAACCAGCCAAACTGAATCACTCACCATTCCTCGAAATACCTCACAACCCACCACATCTCTCTCTGTTCAAACCTTGCCCAGTTTCTAGTCCTTGGCCAGGGTCACTCCCTCCGTGACTTTTCTTGGTCTCTGTGACAATGTGTGATCTTAGACTCCCGGGCATCACATTATCAGTTAGCTCTGCTCTTGTGACACTGGGAGTTTGAAATCTGCCTTTTTTTGTAATTCCTTATGTGATTGTGTCCTGTATAAGTTCATTAGTTATCTGGTTTTAGTATATTCGTGTTATGCTCTATAGCACCTAGCAGTGTATGGAATACATAGGAACTTAACAAACGTTTCTTTGGATCTAATTTGCTGATGTATATGAACATGTTGAAATCACTGGAGTGAAGAAAAACTCTTTAAAATCAAGTGAAGTGGGGGCACCTGGGTGGCTCTGTCGGTTAAGCATCTCACTTTGGCTCAGGTCATGATCTCTGTGTCCTGGGATTGAACCCTGTGTCAGGATTCACCCTTAGCGGGGAGTCAGCTTGTCCCTTTCCCTCTCCCCCCCGCCCCTCCTCCCACTTGTGTGTGTGAATACTTTCTCAAATAAAGTAAAACAAACAAGTAAATAAATAAAATAAAGTGTACTATAATGAGGATTAAATTTTTTTATAATCAAAATAACTCATTTAGTAGGCACTAAAATATTACTGCTTAGTTTTTATTACACACAAAATCTGGAAAAATAAAAGTCCAAATGATTAAGTTCATTATGCATTTATGCCAAGATTTCTGGGGAGAAGACTACTATTACAAATCATCATTGAAAGCTCAAATTAATAAATATCAGGGCGCCTAGGTTCCATTGTCAGCATCATATATATAGGGTAAAAATAAAAGGTGGAAAGATGGGAAAAATGGGTTAAGGAGGTCAGAGGTCAATTTAAAAATTTAGAGAAGAGAGCACACATACCAAAAATATATAATATATACAACATATATGTTATATATATATATATACATACATATATATTATATATATTATATATTATATATATATATTAGAGAAAAGAGATATAACCGAATGAGATGGACAGGAAAGAAGGAGAAACTGAATGAACATGTGAGGAATTCTTCCAAGGCTGAGGCTTTAATTGCAGAGTCAGTGGTTAAGGGAGACAACTGTTCACGGAAAGAAACAGCTATTGTCGCCTCAACACTGTGAAGAGAAAACCGCCAACAATTTGCAACGAGTGCTTCAGGGAGATTTCTCTGGCGCTTAGTTTCCAGATAATGATGTTCCCCGACATGACAAAGGAGCACTAACGCCCTAGTGAAGAGCCCAGTTTCTGGAGCTGAATGGTGGTCTAGATTGGAATCCTGGTTCCAAACCACCAGTGAATACCTGGGCAAGTTACTTAACCTCTCTGCACTCAGTGTCTTGGTCTGTAGAATGGGAAGGTTAATAATAGTACCTGCCTCTTTAGATTGTGATGAGGACCGAATGAGTTTTCCCCAGGTAAAAACTTACAACACTAGAATGATGCTAGTTAGCACGGCAGCCAGGGACAAAAACGAGCCAGAAGTTAAGTCTAACTATGTGTCTTTAGAACACAGGCTGTTGCAAAAGCAGACTTATCTAGCACATAGGAGACTATGTATGGCCCACAGGACCTATTCCTCACCTCAGTCCTGAACTTTTGGAGCTTTGCTAGTAACTCAAAGACTCTTGGCAAACAGAATGTTAAATATTTTCTTGATTTCATAATGTGTTCAATGCCTTAGGCACAAGGCAAAGTCCTGATTAGTTCAAGTCTAACTGATGGCGAAAGAAAGAGGCAAAAAGAAGGAAAGACATGTTTTCACCAAGCTCCACCCGAAGGTAAACTTTATGAAGATAGGGATTTTGTTCTGTTCTGTTTGGTCACCAATGTGTCACAAGCTCCTAGAACCGTGCCTCATACACAGCAGATACCCACTAAAAATCTGCTGAATGAATGAATGTTATGAGTGGTTCCAAGTACCTTCCCAGTTTCACACCTTCAAAAAAAAAGGCAATTATAAAGGTGACTTATTATAGAGCACATTCCATTTAGTTCAATGATCATTTCCAGCAGTGTTATAGACAGAAACTTCAAAGCTGCACTTGGTCTTTTTAATTTTGGAAACCCAGCAGCCAGTTCCCAGCAAGATGTGACAGTCCATTGCATCTACCTGAGGTTTTGAAAGACTCCCTTGATTTCATATTTCTGGTGCTGCTCCTGAGAAGCTGAAAGCTTCTGGGAGAAAGGAAGAATGTAAGCTGGTTGTATGAGGGTTACGAGAAGTAGATTTCTCTGCTAAGTAGGAAAGGAGAGATTTGGTGTAGCCTAGCGAGGATCCTTGAGTAACATTGTGAGTGGCTGAAAAATGATGTTGTTTCGCATTCTGGATATAGACATGAGTTTCATTACTCATGAAAAATAAAAGGCAGATCTCAGGTCATTCGGCGACGGCTAGAGGACACAGTCAAGATGGCGGCAGTGTCTGGCCTGATGTGGAGACCCCTTGAACAGGTCTCGGGGCTGCTGAGGAGGCACTTCCACTGGACGGCGCCAGCGGCGCTGCAGGTGACAGTTCGTGAGGCTATAAACCAAAGTATGGATGAGGAGCTGGAAAGAGATGAGAAGGTATTTCTGCTTGGGGAAGAAGTTGCCCAGTATGATGGGGCATATAAGGTTAGTCGAGGCCTGTGGAAGAAACATGGAGATAAGAGGATCATAGACACTCCCATATCTGAGATGGGCTTTGCTGGAATTGCTGTGGGTGCAGCTATGGCTGGGTTGAGGCCCATTTGTGAATTTATGACCTTCAATTTCTCTATGCAAGCCATTGACCAGGTTATAAACTCAGCTGCCAAGACCTACTACATGTCGGGGGG